CTTTTTAAATTCACCTCAATATTTACTGAATTGTAGATGTAAAGAGATTTCAAAGCACACTTAAGAAAAGTAAAAACAGTGCAGTGCTTCTGGGCTTGTAGCTAGGATTAATGCTTTGCAGCAAATATTTTCATCATCATCATTCAAATGATCGTCGGAAGCCGCCAATTCTGAAACATCCTAAACTCGAAACATGTGAATTAGCTACTGACTTGAGAATACATAAGGAAACTATAGCTGATACGTTTTCACCACATTTTAAAAGCTACGTCCTTGGTTACGACACAGTAGGCAGACATTTAATCTAGAAATAGCCAAATTTGCTCAAAATTGATTGATTTGGTTACCTGCATTATACACTATTAATCTTGACACAGCAATTTTCCAGGTCTAAATATATATTTTGTAGCGTTTACCGTACATGGACTAACAAATATTGAAATACTGAGACAAGCAAAAATATTGCACCTTCATTGATAATAAGCCGATACTGACTATAAGGTGTTCCAAACTCATAACGAGATAAATTCTAGATTAGCATTTGGCGTTGTGTGGGATTACCCTTCCATGAATCGGTTTGAAGGGCAAATGTATTATAATATGTTACGGATAAAGACATTAACCAAAAATTAACATTACGACCGGGTAACGTTTGTAATACTGTCACTTTAACATCTTTCTTCGAGAAATGACAACAATGACTGAGAACGACTGCGTAATGTTGATATAATGGCAAATGGGTGAAGAATATTATGTTATTCTCAGCAATGAAAAAACTTAAAAAACAACCAGTACAAAACATTAAGTCCTCGAACCTGGAGTTTACATCACAGTCTTTGCTTCTCTTAATCCCAGCAAGGCTATTGTTATACTCTTCAATGTTTTAAAACGTTATCGTCGCGTTTAGTTTCTATGATGACATTTATGTTTTGCGTAAATTAGCGGCAAATTCCTTTAGACATCATATTTTTATCATACATTTATTCATCGTGCTTGGACGTTAACCTCATTGACCGGATTTCTCTTTTTGGTCTTCTACATTCTTTAATATAGAGCCAACTGTGTAACTCTATTTTGTATCACTTCCATATTTACTGAATTGTAGATTTCTAACGCCAGCTGGTATTGGATCGAACACGTAAAAAGGCCATTTTTTGGGTTTATTTATTCCATTATCTTCTTAAATCCACAAAATATTTTTATAAGTAATGCAACAAAATAAAATAATACCTAATAATTCGTTTGCTTAAATTTTCCAGTAAATAAACAAAAAGTATCTTTTTATTTGGGATGGTGGCATTCCATGGTCCACCCACATTAAATTGAATCTCATCACTGAAAACATTTTTTCAAATATCTCAAAACCAAACATAAAGTTAAGTTACAGAGAGGTTTGTTATTTGCAGACTCGTCTTGCGTGTGACTGCTTGATGACGTCACAGTACATGCTGCGGCGCACCGACCAATCAGCGTGCTTGAAGTTATTTATCAAAATTGGGAATCTTAGTTTCTTTGAGCTACACAATTATATGTATACCGTTCAGCCTGAGTGAAATGCTATAAAGATATCTTTCGAATGATGAATCACAATACGTCTATTCAAATTTTGATTTAAAAATTCACGTTGTGTATTTCTTCCAATAATTGATATGTTTCGAAATTATTAATAAACTGGCTGTTTTTGTTTCTCATTTTATCTATATGACAGTCATATAAAGTATCAGTTAAGAAATAAAACTATTTGTTCAGAATTTAGGTATGTTCTAAATATAGGTATATCGTAAAATGTAATTTGATCATGTTACGTTTGGTGCACTTATTTATTCATTTCTTTCTTTGTTTCTTTAGTCAGAACCCGTTGAAAGGCCTTACGAAACTTTAGGAGTGTTAAAATAGTTTTTATAGAGGGTAGCAAAGCTCTAACTAATTTCTTTGCCCCGAGTTCTTCGTTGCTATTATACAATTTTACAGTCTGCTAGAACTGCGACTTATATACGTACATGTAATCCCTATTCCATGAGTATCTATCACGTTTTGACATCTACTTTGGTGAACAGCTGATCAACAAAAGACATCTCTGTATTAGCCTGTTGCCGTTGTCAACAATGAATCGGGTGACAAAACTAGTCTTTTTTTGTATGCAAACAAATTTTTCTCAATAAAAGAGTTGTTAGCAAGTACAAAATGAGTCTCTTGCGTACCTACAAACACCCAAAACAATATACGAATCTGTCTTCCTGGCCTTGGCGGAAATCAGCTGTCATTCTACCGTAATGGATACTTGTGAAAAAGACAAGTCGCTTCTTCACGCGAGAGTTGACTTTTAGTAATTTCTGTTATTTTGGAATTACGTAACTGTAATCAAGCAAGAATTCAGATTAGATTTTCAAAAATTCCTACAAAGCTGAAAATTGGTATAGATCATAAATACTCCATTATAAATAATATATCAAAACTCCTCATATACCCTTGGAGCGGAACCTTGTGGTATTCGGGTTGAAATATCACTGACGGACAATGACGAATAGAAGATGTAAAAATATCACGTTTTGTCAAATTCTTATGAAAGCGAAGGAAATACCACAAAAATACCTTATCCAAAAATTGCAGAAAGTACAATTGTCTATTAAAGCTGTTCAAGCACTTTTATTCTTAGACTCTTACATACTGTTCTGTGGCTCATCCTGATAACATTCGTAGAGCGACGAGTCTCGTCCATGAAGTGAGAAATGCACTCCATGAATTCCGCAATGAGCAGTGGAGCTGCTTTCTGGCGGGGATGCTTGAATCAAGTATTCCTCACTTCAAAGTGGCAAAATTGCTCAGAAACGGAAGGTAAGAACAACTACCACATATTCATGATCCTGGAGGCATAGTTTTCAGGACTGAGGATAAGGTGGAGGTTTTTGATGACGTCATCGAAAGGCAGTTCTCTCCCAATTATGATCTGGACAATGATTTTGACTGTGGAACGACGTCCTTGCCCCAGCAACTGTGTCCATCTCTATGCTGACGCCACTGCATTGCTAGCCCAGTCTTGTTCTGATAACCTGGTTTACGACAGGCTGCAGAGTATTGGACTGGACAGATTCTTTGGTTGATCAAAATGAATACTTCGAAAACGCAGACAATCTATTGTACTAAAAAACGTCACGGTGCCTCCTCAGAGATATCCGTGAATGCAAGGCGTATACCATGGGAGCAGTCTGTCAGGTATCTTGGTAATCATTGACAAGGGTTTGACCTGGCAGAAACATATGGATATTTTGAAAAAAAAATTCCAAATTACCTTTCGGCAGCTTTATCCTTTGTTGCGCAGAAATTCAAAATTAAGTTTGATCAACAAGATTCGGTTGTATAAAATGGTCATAAGACCCGCAATCACCTACGCATGCGTGGCGTGGTGTTGCCAAGACGCACATGCAGAGACTGCAAGTACGTACTGCAAAACAGGACCCTACGCACAATTACTAACGCCCCTTGGTACGCGTCAAATGAGACCATTCACAGAGATCTTGATATCCCATATCTAAGGAATTATGTAAAACAACAGGCGCAGCGGCGTTATAATCAAGCGGAATCGCACAGCAACCCTCTGTTGTGTGATTCAGTAGACTACACAGTCGAGCAAGTTCGCAAACATTCCAGGACGCGCCTCGCACTGTGATCATAATTAAATTGTAAATTCAGACCAGGAAAAAATGTACCCATTTGAAAATTGCTTCAGGCCTTCAATATGTTATTGCAATTAGTATATCGAATGTCTCCATCAATTCTCGAAATTTTTTATTTAAGGTTACATGTCAAAATGATGATTTCTTTATATTTTTCTGGAACGGTACCAGTAGCCACAAAAATACCTCAAACATGCTCAAACCAAAATTGTGAAGCATGTAATCCTCGTTAAAACTTGCCCGATTGCTTTTTTGTTAGTCGCTGTTCATGCTTTCTTTGATTTATAGTATTTATGCTACTCTAGTTAGTTTGATATGAACTGGGATATGAAGACTTTCTTTTTTGAGCTTTCAAACATTTCGCGTTCAGTGGTTTCGTATTGAAACCTTTGGTTTCTCATGGAATTAATTTTTAGTTAGAAGAATAACTGACGCTTTTTTGAGACACCCTGTTCAAGTGGTATGTATTTTTGTATAAGTCTCATACATCAATACCCCAACATATGTTCATATCGGACGATCGATAACGTACACATAATATACCTATGTCGCATTATGAGCAGAAGAGTACCTGAGAGTCCACAGATCACTAAATCTCATAAATGGTGACTCTATAAATAAAAGTACTTAAACAACTTTTGCATTCTCTACCGTTTTTGTATGAGGTATTTTTGTAGTATCCTTTCCCTTTTAAAGAAATGAAACAAGGTTCTTCGCCGATGACGTATGAGGAGTTTTGATATATTATTATTCATAATGGTGTATGATTTAAGATATGTACTAATTCTCAGCTTTGTGGACATTTTGGCAAGCTTGCAATATTTTTTGCTGTATTTTGTATTTTGGCATATGCCGCATAAAGAGATACACCCTGCTAAAATTCTGACGGGTATCAAAATTAATTTGTCATTTAAGAAAAAATATCAAACGGAGAGACTATGTCGTAAATTACTGACAAGAGGTTAGAATAACATGTTTAAAGTCTTTGTAAATTATATGTCCTCCAAAAAACGAATGGCTAGTGCTTTCTAACACCTTGAATGGAATTAAGCACAGTAAATGAGACTATCAATACTGACTGATTCGAAAGTCATTCCAAAATGTAGCAAAGTTTTGCACTTGTTCTGCTACTTCTTGCTCATATTGATGAACCACTATTTTCAGAATTCTTATCAAAATGTGCGAATGCTGGATTGCAACAGTGCATATCATATACATATGGTGAACAAATAAAGATTCCTTATGCGAAGCTAACTAATTAGATCTTAGAAAATTAAAATATCTAAATATAAATCTACCAATTTATTTAATATCACTTTTCTGTAGGACATGCAATAAGAACAAATTCATTTCATCAAATACAAGGCTAAAGGCACTGAAGCATAAAGACGAGAGTGATAATCAAATTGAGGGAATACACAGAAGCACTGAACAAAAGCGAAGCACTAATTTATCAACATGTGCAGAGAAGGTAGAAAGTTCGGACAAAGCTTGTAAATAGGACTAGAACCTTTTTAAGCTCTGCTAAAAATTAAATAAAATACAGAGACATCCCCCTCTGAACATCGTCGAGCATGGACAATGTTGTCGGGGCAGCAGCACCCCCAATATGTGAGCACTACTTGAGGATAGGTCTTATTTGTACAGAGTAAGATCATTTGGAGAAAAGTACCTTTTAGCCCCTTTAGCTTCTTCCTAACACCTGCTGCTATTGACAAAGCCTGATCAAGTCCTCGGTGCTCTGAACTCCAAGCAGCCGAAATGAACGGTAGAACTCAGACATCCATCGGAATCAGATGAGCGCTAGGGCTCTTCTGGTTAGTCTACTGTGTTTTGGGAGCATTAAATTGTATAAGATTGTTGCGTCCCTAAGCAATGATAACGTCCAGATCTCTCGTTAGAGAGGGAGTCGCTGCTAGTCTTTTTTTTTCTCCAGATCGCATTCTTGCACGTAGAGTGCTGTTGTCAGCACAGCTATAGATCGGATTGATGGTACAGGAAAGGAGGTCGTTGATGTGTAAGAGGAACAATGTCGGAACCAAGACCGATCCCTAGGAACACCGGCTGTATCTTGCTGCCAGAGAGAAAGTCAGCCACCCATCAGCAAAGCTTCTCTGGTTGGCCATAGGATAGAAGTTTGGACAAGAGAGCAGCATGACGCATCTGACCGAACGCTTTCGTAATATGAAGACAAGCAACATGTGTCTCGCCATAAGACTGAATGAGGTGCCCTGTGGTTCACTGAGCCAGAAACCATATTGCCTGTCACTACTCATGCCGTGACGTTCGAGATACTCCACAAGCTCCCGATCTATGCAACTCTCCATTACCTTACTTAAAACAGAAAGCAGAGCTATAGGCGTGTAGTTGTAAGGGTCGATCTTAGATCCTTTTTTTGTAATTGGTTGGACATGACAAATTTACAGTTTTCTGGGAAGGTGCCAGATTCGTAAGATATCTGAAAAGAATTGCAGTAAGCTACGCTGCACACTTCTACAATACAACGGAGGAATCAAGTTCGTACTACAAGCTTTGTTGATGTCGAGGGTCCTACGGCCTTATGCCTGAATGTTACTTGCCGCATAGTGTAGGGAACCCTTTGACTCGGCGCTACTCGAGCGTTTGAGGGACGTCTATGGTGTAGTTGGCAAGCACGTCTGCCTTAGCCTTTGAGTCGGTTACAATCGTCCCACCCTGCCACTAAAGTGGTAGAAGGCTACTCTGTGGGAAGTTCCTTTCCATCTGCTTGGCCAGCGTCCAGAAACAGACAGCCGACGCCTCCCGGTCAACGGAACAAACATCTCTCCAATGAAAGGTAGTGAAAAAGTCTCTGAGCCCTTCCCAGTCCTATCCTCCACAACACCGTGATCTAAGCCGAGTCGACTGGGACGCAGAAACTTTTCCTCACCTCTTCTTGAAGAGATGTTTGTTTCGTTGACCCGGATGCGTCAACTGTCGGTTCATCAATAACAGAAATTATTCTGGTTGGGGTGGAGGAATATGTCCCTCATACAGTGGAACTGCCTAAACCAGGGTCCAACGGCTGGTCCAACAAATCGTGTAACACTGCTCGTCAGCAATAACAAAACTCCGCTGTAGAGAACAGACAAGCCGACGTGAGTACGGAAACAAATATAATGACGCGGTCTACAATGCCAATGAGCAGGTCAATATAAAAATTGGCATTGGGGTAATATCGCAGCATAATGGCTGTCAGTCTATCTGAACGCTAGCCAAGCAGGTGGAACGGAACTTCTCACAGAGTAGCCTTCTACCACTTAGGTGTATGTGTGGAACGAGTGTCACCGACTCAAAAGATAACGCGGACATTTTTGTCAACTCCACGATGGCGAGTGGCGTCGAGTCAAAGGGTTGCCTACACTATGCGGGAAGTAATATTTAGGCATAAGATTGTAAGATGGGTGCTCTTGTCGGTCGACATCAACAAAGCTTCTGGTCCGGAATTAATGTCTGCTATTGTACTGAAGATATGTGTAGCGGAGCTTACTCCAGTTCTTACGCGCCTCTTGCAGCTGTCTTACGAATTCGGTACTTTCCAAGAAAATTTGCTCATCCTAAACCCGTCCCAAATAAGGATATAAGATCGACCCTTACAACTATAAGTAAGGTAATGGAGAGGTAAAAAAATCAGGAGCTTTTGGAGTTTCTTGAACATCATGGCTTGATTAGTGACGGGCACTATGGTTTTCGGCACCAACGATAAAAGGGCGCCCTCCTAGCTCACATCACGCAATTATCGATTAGTTGTGGTATACTGCTCTCTTATGCAAACTTCCATCTTAAGGTCTCGCAGAGTATCTTTGCAGATGAATGGCTAACTTTCTCTCTGGCTCTAAGATATCCGAAGTAGTTAACGGCTTCTTCTCTTCATCTCACAATGTCAACGCTGGTCTTCCCAGGGATCGGTCTTGGCTCCGACAATGCCCATATTTCATGTCAATGAGCAACTTTCCTGTACGATCAATCCGATCCAAAACTTTGCTGAAGACAGCACTCTAAATGCAGGATTTCAGAGTTCCAAGCCGCACGTGTATTACGTATCTTGAAAAGTGACATTTCGTCGGATTTTTTGACGTTTTATAGGTTTTTTTGTGACATAACGTAGGTTTTTCTACAAGATGTGGACATAGCACTAGCTGTTGGATACTTGTTGTGAACTCGTTTTGAAGCTGTACGTGTTGCCTAAACGTGCTTCAGCTATCGATGTTTGGCTATAATGTGATGTAACATCTGCTTCAGAGATGGCATTACTGGAGGTTTAAGCTATAAGTTGTATAGGATAGTGGTATATATATAGTGGTAGGATTTGTGTGCTAATAATCTGTATTGATGATAGATAATTCTATTGGTTTCTTGTCTCAAATACACGTTCTTGAGATGTATTCAAAGCTAGAAATTAGTTGCGCAAACACTTTTTATTATTCATTCTGGAAATTACATATGCAAATATGCCTGATTTAAAAAATGAGTGAGGTAGGAAAAGACAATCCCTGGTCGGGGAAGGATATTACAAGTAACAGGTGAGAAAATATGCTACAGGCAGGAATATTTATGAAACGTAAAAAAGTTATTACACCTCTGTCCAGAGAGGACACCATATAAATAACCCATCAGGCACACCTATGAGATATACTTTATTGGCAGTACATTCAGTAATAATTTTCTCACATAGCAAACATCACTGATTTTATACACATGCAGTCCAATACACATAACCATCCAGACAGAACTTTCTTTCTTTCACATCTTCTCAGAGATAAACACTTACAGACTACTCGACTTTCTGCAACCAACAATGCATGTCGTGTCGTTGAGTCATTCCTCCATAGATGGACGCTTTTAATGGCGCTCATAGCGAGCAAAGGTGTAATGAACTTTTGCAGACTAAAAACTACCTAGTCTGCTAGATGACATTTTGTCGTTTTGGCATTTTTTAGATTTTTACGTAATACCCCTGCCGGTCGACTGGAGACAAGAAGACTAAAAGCAACCCCGTGTCTGGCAAGAGATCTGGAGGTTACCACTACTTGGGGACGCAACAATATGGTACAGTGTAGTGCTTCCAAAACAAAGATGAAGTGTACTTATCCCCACAAAGCCTCCATTTTCTGTGCAAGGCCCAGATAAGACCTATCTTCCACTACTGCTCACATTTTTGGGCTGCTGCCGCTAGCCTGTACGACTACTCCTTTGTCTTAGGGTGTCGAGAATGTGGAACAATCTGCCTGAGGAGCCTTTTCTCAGATCTACTAACCTTAGGCAGTTCAAAAATCGGATTAACAAAAGTGTCTTTAAGCTCCTTATATCAGACACGGTGCCCAAGTATTTAGGATTCAGTCTTCGCGACTGCTTCGATATATACAAAAAAAAACAGATCACCAGGTGTTTTAAATTTGGCTCTCACCATTATTGTTTCTGGTAGAATATTAATCAATGTTCAAACTCTAATTTAAGCTCACTTACTGATATTCTAAACAACGGAATATATCCCTCTGTTTCTGCTACGACTGGCTGATATGATCGGTCCTCAACGGAACTTGAAGCTCTCAAGTCAATTTTGATGTAATTGATTACGGTACATGTATAATAAATCTGGGAAGATACAAAGAAAGCCAGCTGATAAATAACCTGTGCAGTATTGGACATTAGGAATACCTGCTTGCTTAATCGATGTGTAAACATTCCAAAACACGTTATCAATTCAACCATGCGTATTTTTCCTATTGTTCAGAGTACTTGAAAGTCTTATCTTGATAGTCGGTAAAAAAGTATTCAGTCAGGAAAGTACTTCATTGGAGATAAGCACAAACTAAGGAATATAATAGATGCTACAGTTGCATGTTTAAACATCTTTTAATGATTTTGTCAGGGACACTGTATAAAACACAGTATAAAAGAAGCTCCCAAAACTAAAAGTATGTTTAAACTGATTTTTGATGTTAAGTATCATTCACTTAACACGTTTATAAATTGTAGTTAAAGATTTTTATTAAAAAAGAATTATCAAAAGCTTTACATAGTGCATTGAGAAATGAATACCTAAACCGGACCGTTAGTAAAAATTTCCAATCATCAATTAGGATTTCATTATTACAAGGGAATACAGAGTATATTCAAGGGTACATTTTGAAATTTGTAGCAACAAAAATCGCACACTGAGAGATTCTGAAAATCCGAAATCCTATAAGTTATAAGTAATTACGAGGGAGGTTGTTGTAATGTCTGAAGCAGTTTCCTTTAAGAGCAAAATGGAATCTGTTTTTATTCCTTCCAAACGAACTACGACAATGAACTTGGCAACATGACTGTGAACATCCAAATATAACATAGAGTTAGCCATTTTCTTGGAGAGTTTCTTGAACAACGGTTTAAAACAATATGGACATCATTTTTAAGTTGTGTACCAATCGCAAGCGCAAAATCATTTCACTGGCGGTATGTTATGTGGAT